AATATGGCTAGAAAATAGCATTTTACAATTCCAATGGTAAGTCACCAATTATTTGCCACTATTTTTGGAGAAAAAAACTACTTGACAGCGGGCTACTGCATAGCTTTATCTCAATGACTTTCGACAGGGTTAATTCATAAGCCGTGCGTGCTTAACGAAGCATCATATTGTTTATGAGAGAATGGTGTTACTAAGACGCGAGTTCTAATATCTAATGGATTCATTGGTCAACCCCGTCAGATTTTTAAAAAACACCTTTTAATCGAAATCAGACTCAGTCCCTTGAACTGTATTTGAATGTTCGTAGAACAAATTACCACTGCAGTTGAAGCAGGCATAAAGTGTTGGCACTAAAGATTAGCGAGCGGCTTAGCTTGCTACCTGGGCCGCGGCTGTGCCCTCCTATGGCTCCTTACGCGTCTCTTTTTCCCGGATTGTCAAGGCTCTGCCTACCATGGTAATTTATGTTTCTGTATCGTCTGCTACTGAGCGACGCATCGATTTTTGGTTATCACATTTGCATCGCGCGCACCGCACAGGCCTTCGGCACCGCCGCTTCATCCCACCGTTTTCACACAGTGCTGAACCCCGAATGTGCCCCATCTTGCCTTACTAGCACTGTGGCATTAGACAAAATGCACTTGATTTAAAAACAATCGGACCCGCCTTTGTAGGACAAACACAACCGCGTACCAACGAATTGCGACTGGATGGTATGCAATCAAATATGCTCGCAGTCAATGCATATTGGAGTTATTTCACACCCAGTTTCCTACGAAGGTTTCAAAATACTTCAATTGGATAAAATATCTGCAGCAGAGTACGATAGCTGAAAGTCCTGAGAGCGCATGGGATAGGAGCAACGTATGGTGAGTAAGAGAGGAACTTACATTGTGTGCGTGGGAAGAGACTGGGTAAGGCCAGAAGCGGGTGTATTGGTCTCAGAGGACTGGTCCTCTGACTCAGTGCAACTGAGGGACCACAGAGAGTCGTCCCACTCCCCTCCTCCACTGCCTTTAATTGTTGAGGTCTCTGACTGCTGCCCTACAAGATGCCCCTCTCTAGCCTCTCGAACCGCATGAACACCTTCTATCGCCATGCGTTACTGATTGGAAAGGTGAAGAGAGAAGCAAACTGTTGTGAAAAAGAGTAGGTATCAGTCTTTCATCAATATCCAGGTCAGGTGAGAAAATCTCACAATGGAGAGGCGTTTTTATCATTTATTTCCTTCATTAATAACCCATCTGTAAAAGAGTTACTGAGCGTACCCTTTTGGAATTGTTGAATATTTGCTGGCAGATTACAAATATGGTACGTATTCAGGAATATCTTTGCTATCATTAATAGTTTCTACGCCCAATGTACCCACCTCGGCAATTTTCGTTAATTTACATTCCTTCAATGCTCTTGATGGGCACTCTTATCGTAGCAAGCGCCAGAAGGGAATAAGTAGTAGTTTAGAGTAAGCGTTTGCTTTCTTAATTCTGTCTGCATTTTGCTGAATGTGATGAATGACGGATGCAGTGAAGTTAGTTACCCACAAACAAATTTCTGCTCCAAAAATGATGCCACACTGCTCGGTGAGACAACTGCTATGATTGCATGACGTGCTTCCGCGAATGTGTCGAACATCGGCACAATGAGTCAGCAATCTGCTCCGCGTTTGGTGAATACCGGAAAAATTCCGTGACCCGAAATCCATAAGGAGGTTTGCTAGAAATTTGACCGACATGTAATTTTTGAATGGTATGCGCAAGCTATTCGGAATACAAATCAGTTAACCGATGGTGAGAAGAGATACTTCCACAATACTTCCCCTCCAAATCGCTCCATTCCTTTCAATAGGTGATCCTAAAGCCAACAGGCAGGCTAGCAGGCGAAACGGGTGCAATTAAAATGAAATAATTCCATATTCGTGTAATTACCTACAATGCTGCGATCATTCAGGGCACCGACTTGCCGCGTTAGAGTAGCGAAAAGAATAACGGACATGAAGTGATATTTTTAAGTGTACGGACATCAGACCTGTCGGACACTGCCAACAACCGATGGCTTGAACTACGAAGCGATCGGTTTGTTCGATGACCAAATGAGCTTTCATTCGCGGACCTGTATTTGGAACTAATGCATTCACTTTGATCGAGAACATGGTATCATATCCACATTTATCAACAATTTCATGTAAATAACAATTCCAACTATCCTAACGGTTGAGACACACAATTTTAAGCAACTTTTTTTTTAAATTTTGTGTGTGTACAATACTTTTAAATGCTGTGACTGGATAAAGCAGTGATTCATATTGGTTTTACGACGTTGTTGTGTTGGAAAAAATGAAAGGAGAAAGAAAGTGCTGGGAAACAATGCAATCCTACTGAATCACTTAAATCCACTTGTAAATTGGACCGTTGGAGCGGATGTTTAAATGTCAGCCAGTTCGAATTGGTGATTTAACTGACAATCAAAGATAGATCCACACGGTCGTCACTTGTGAGGTATGAAGCGGCAGAAAGATAAAATCAGACTAGGCTCAAATGCATTTCACCACCTTTGACCCTCGGAGTGAAGACGCCCTGCATTGCGAATATAGTAGGATAAACTTCATTCATGCGAGAAATTGTGATGAGAAATTTAGGACTTGATCCAAGCCGGTAGCAGCTTCACTAAAACAGTTCACTGAGGTGAGCAACGCAAAAGCTGCATTCACTTATCCTTAACAGTCGCATTGGAACAGCAGAATGCGAAATGCGAATATGGAAATACATCGTTCCTGAAAGTGGAGGATGTTTTGGGGTTTGGTGCCAACTCAGAAATGCCTATACCTCGGCACTTGTGCGCCACATTCTTCTTTCACGCTCCTTTTCAAGTTAGGGAGCTATTTTATTCCAAGAGAGAAAACAAATGTATGAAGGGTGCTACCATGTAGCATCACATGTCACTGCTACCCCACCTCAGTTCAAAAAGCGTCATGCAGAGAGTGGGTCGTGAAGACAGTGAGATAAAATGAAAGACTGGAACCAAGTATTTAATTGCTTACTGAAAAAGGGACCAGCGACCGTCCGAAAATTAACTCAATGTTTATGAGCTAGTAGCAAATGCTAAGAT